AGTGCACTAAGGGGTCCTTAGCAGTGTTTGACATACCCCAAGTGTCATGTCTTTCCGACCAAGCGTGACGATCGTGTAAGAGTAAAGGAGGCCGTGGATTCGAACCCTGGCTGGATCAAAACAGAAACTTTAAAAGTGGTATTTGCTGCGCAAGCAGCTTTAAAGAGGAAGAGCAATGACTGGTCTGCTCGGAGTTAGAAAAACGTGTCCGGGTAGGTTGACATGTCTAGAGGCGGATTTTCGGTGCGCGAGTCTCCCCCTAAAAGTAGCTACTTTTGTTGTTATTCAAGATTCTGCCTGCTTCATTCCAAACGTTGCCTAGTGTGGGCCCCTCCCCCTTTTTCAAAATCATTCGATAGTTATTTTTTCATGTTTTCTTAAAACCAACCCATCAAATTTTGTACTGCTATTATAATATATCAGGCGAAAATCAGATTGAATATATATAAACGGGTCTTATATTTTAGCTTCCTTTTGCCTTTGCAAAGTTAGGGGAAATAGATCTAAGTTATAAACCGTTCGTGAGACGGTAACTTCTAATGGTTGCTTGAAATCATAATTGAGTTCAAATAATATTGTTTGCTATACAATTAATACCATGATGCAGCTAGAAATCCTCCAAATACTTTTGATTATGGTTCATACGTTGATATCAAGTGTTACAGTATCTCTTAATTATTTTTAAAAGTGCAATGACGGGTCCCATTACGTACTACGGTTGGTACGGTATCAATTCGGGATGCCTTTACTGAAAAAAGAAAACGAACACACTTCTAACGTTTCACAATGATGAATAAAAATTACAATGGTTATACACACATTTTCGATTTAATTGTATGAAATTATTAGTCGATAATTTTTCCAGAAGTATTTGTTGAACAAATATTATTTACTAACACTGTACGAAAAAATAGCTGCACGTTTTCCTTCAATCTAATTTTGACGTCAAGCATTTCATTTATCCTTGGTCGGTGTGTTTAATCCGATACCACTACCTAAAACACTTTGTGCTAAAGTAGTCTCAGGTATTATATTGGAATGTAATTGTTTATTTCTCGAGCAGATGAGTAAAATTGTATAGGTTTACACGTTCTGTATGAATTTAGTAATGACTAGCATATCACTGTCGGACTCGAGACAAACAGTTTATCAGTTTATATTTGGTATCAGGTATACTAGAACGTGGCGTATTTAAGCTATATGAAATTTTATTTTTCCAGGTAAATTAAACACACAAAAGAACGTATGTTTTAATGTGGATTTTTAAAATTTCGGGACAGAATTGGTTTATTTAAATTTGCTTAACGTACAGTGGCAAATATTTCATATATTTTACTGACGAAATTACATGGGAGATTCGGTCTTTTGATAGGACGATTCCTTTATATAGATTGATGTTAGCGTACAATATCCAGTGGCATTTATCAATCATGTTCAGTTCGCCGAAAAATCAGATCAAAAATTTGATTCATAAATCAATTTAGTTCTGTTAATGGGTGGACATAGATGGCGGGATAAACATTGAACTGACACTAAACAAAGAGGTATGCATACCTGTTTTAAAAAAGGATTGCATGAAACCTGTACGACATTCCCCAAACCAAATTCTTATAATCAAGCTGCACTTTTAAAAGTTCCATATTAATATTGAAAGCTTTTTCCCATGTAATAACTTTTTGCACCAGTGACAAATAAAACAACTTTAACGGTATGGGTTTACTAACGGAAACCTATAGTTGTTAAGGTATACATGGTATATGATGGAGAGTTGTCTCATTTGCAATCATACCACATCCTCTTATTTTCATATTTAACAGATCTAATTTTGAACAAGTCTAAACTGATGACGGAATTTTAACATTTTCACTATCGTTTTTTGTTATTTATTAAAAACATTTTTTTTTTTAAATACTGTTTTATTAGTCTGTAATTGTAAAAATATTTTAACCTAAAAGATGAGATATATCGATTTGAATGATGTAAACAAGGAATACTTTCTGTTCCTTTTACATTGGTCCCTTTGTTGACTATTAAATAACTACCAGCAATCTCGTTTTATTTTTAGCAAAATTACTTAGATGACGCTAGTTGAATATCACATTCACTTATCAAAAATCTTTTCTTATCTATAGAGCTACTGCATGTGTACAAATTAAAAAAAAAAATAACTGATTACTTTTGTCGCTGCATTTTAAAAATCTGGCATCATAAACTATATATTACTTATTTACACATGTATTTATCATTATTTCCTTTTAATTGTGAATATTTGTTAGAGGTACTTATCTAACTGAAATCAATAACGTTTGGAACGGATAAACTATAGATAAACGGAGATGCTGTTCTGCTTGAGTGATTTACCTTAAAATAAGGCGGACACTTTAAAGTTTCAAAGGACTTAACATCAGTTTGATTTCGTTTAAAGGGGGCGTGGCTAACTAGTTAAACGCAGCTTAACCACATCTTAAACTAACTTGAATGACCGCAAGGGAATCTATTTGACTGGTATTAAAATAATTTGATATGGATTGAAATGTTAAAATTAATTTTAAATTTTTGTCAATCTTTATTCAATGTTCATTAATCTTTTTTACATACCGTTAATACCATTTTTTCCGATCAAGCTAAATTCGGGTTACTAGTGAAAGTTTGTAAACCTTCGTGAAACTGCAGCTACTCTTCAAGATCACGAAATATCATCTTTCTTTGTTTTATATTTACTGCTAAAAAGCTTTAATTTTATAGCCAACATTAAACTTATCTACTGATCAAAACAATCGCAGTCGAGACACAGGGTTCCGCAAAATCCTTCACTAATGTTTTACCAATCTATATTCGGAAAGAAATATTCATATAAACTGAAAGAAAGGGATACCATAAGAGACTTTTATCATTATTATTTGATTAATCTAAATATGAGGTTTATAATTTGTGTACAATTGTGCACTGTAAATATATATTTGCAGAACTTGTATATATATCTTATTCTCTGATTAATACCTGTACCTAAATATCTTCCTTTTTAATTTGACGAAATAGGAACTTGTACTGCATCTTTTAATAACGTGTTGAAATTAATGAAATTGATAACGTGTTGTTTTCATTTTTACAATACTGGGTCGATACTTCTGCTGGTGGAATATCAGTCCACGATGGTATCATCAGCTCAGTAGTTAGTACCTCGGTACTGACATGATTTATAAAAAACCTTTTTAGAATTGTCCGTTTATAAATTTTAAAATTATAAAGAAACCAAAGTTTCAACTTCCTCAGGCAAAGTTGACCTTGGATGAGTTTGACTATTTTGTTTTACGTACTTTTTGATCATATAGCTCTTCAACTGTTGGATCCTTATACATCCTCAGCTTTCAAGTTTATGGTTTTGAGCGTTTCTAATGCAAGTAAACCAGAAAAGCTATTATTTGAAATTCTGATCGAATATTGTTTTGTGTCTTATCGTTTTTTAGTTGTGATTCTATCTTTTATTTTCTATTTGTATGTAAAAGTAAAGATAATAAATCACCCGGTTCATTTGTATGATTTTAGTTTAAAGCAACTATATGCACAGGATTTATTTGTTTCACACAGTTTGAAATTTGGACGAAAGGCCGACATAGTTAATTGCACTATTACTAACACAATTCTATATTAATATTCTTGTAATTGTTATAAAATACATCAAATAACATAATAAGAAATCTTGATTTATATCCAATTTTTAGAAATTTACCTGTGACGTTACTTTTTGTGGCGTTGATCCATTCGTGTTAGAGACTCACACTTCGTAATTCTATTAAGTTGTTTTTGTGTACTGTCTTAAATTATTTTAGTTATTCGTTGTTATTCTGTGGTTAACATGTCGAAATGTACTACTATATCATTTATTTATTTATTTATTTCTCTGTCTTTGGTGCTTTTGCATTTATTTGTACTCTGTTCCTGTCATGTACCCATGTTCCCACGGTGGTTTTAGTTTGTAACCCAGATTGTTTTCTGTCAATCGATTAATGACTTTTGAACAGCGGTATACTTCTGTTGCCTTTATTTCGGACGCATGAAATTAATAACGTGTTGTTCTCATTTTTTACAGTTTACAGCACTGGGTCGATACCTCTGCTGGAGGACTATCAGTCCTGAGGGTATCATCAGCTCAGTAGTCAGTACTTTGATACTGACATGATTTATAACAAACCTTTTTAAAATTGTCCGTTTATAAATTCTAAAATTATAAAGAAACTCAGGTTTCAACTCCCTCAGGCAAAGTTGACCTTAGATGAAATTGGCTATTTTGTTTTAGTTACTTCTTGGTTATATAACTCTTCAGCTGTTTCGGAGCTTATACATACTCGGCTTTCAAATATTTGGCTTTGAGCGTTCATGGTGAAGGTCAATCCAGAAAAGCGCTTCGGACGCATGATATGAATAATGGGTTGTTTTCCTTTTTTAATTTAATGACTTGTCTTCGTGTTTCAGAACATACAGTTTGATAGTTTTAAAATCGTTTGCTGCTGAATGTTATCTACAAGAATACTTTAGTGTATATAATTGCACATGCACAATGCAAAGATTAGTAAGTATTTAATAGTGTGAATTATTTTATGTGTTTGCGTTTAATTTATTCACAGCTATTTAGACTCAGAGGGATTTATACCTCAGTTTTTTTTACATAAACACCTGACTACTGTAGAATATAAAACTAAGTCGAAGTAAAATCATTGCCAATAAGACAAATATCCACCAGAAACAAAAGGACGATGACGTCAACAGCCACGTTCTGAAGACTGTGTATCTATTTTAGTATTAATTTCGATTGGTGGCAGTCACCTTTATGAATAACTCTCATTTCTTTTTTCATTACTATATTTGCCTTGAATTAACCATATGATTGCAGTTGCTATGTATAATATCAAATTTAATTCTAAGAATCGATATTAAGCCACATTATGAACATGGTTAGTTGATTAATACCTAAAAATATGTTTCTTTTTATTCAGAGAACGTGCAACAATGAAAAACTGAAAGGGATTTGTACGAGTGTAATTGTGTGTAGCTTACTATTCTGGCCAATATGTCAAATATTGCACTATGAAGGTTCTTATCATGCCCGACTGAATGATACTTTAGTGAAAACAACACCTATAGAATTACATAGAAACCCAGACTCACTGAAAAATAGTATTCCAGATGAATTGTCAGTGAAAACTACATCTACAGAATTACATAGAAAACCAGACTCACTGAGAAATATTATTCCAGACGAATTGTCAATGAAAACAAAATCTACAGAATTACATAGAAAATCAGACTCACTGATAGATATTATTCCAGATAAATTGTCAGTCAAAACTATACCTACAGAATTACATAGAAAACCAGACCCACTGGGAAGTATTATTCCTGATGATTTAACTTTTGTTGACAATAAATGGAAATTATCTGATCTTTGTAAACCATACAAAACGTATCTAAATGACAGTGATTTCCCTTTGATAAGATATACATCAAATGCTGGGAGCGTGAACATATTTACACACTCTTTACGCGACGGAATATCGTCTATAATCAGTAGAGAAGGTGCTTTTGAATTGAAGACAATAAACAGAATATTATATCAGCTGCAACAAGATCCAAATATGAATTTAATTGATATTGGAACAAATATTGGACAACATTGTATAGCAGCAGCATTGATTGGAAGGGACTCAATCGCCATTGACGCTGCAAAATCCAACATCGAACACGTATGTGCTTCTGCCCATTATCTAAATATTGGTTCGCGAATAACATTAATTCACAACATTTTGTCCGACTCGAATGGAAAACGAAAGTTCCGATACAGTGCTAGCAAGTCTGACTTTGGTTCAATACATGTTGATTCGGATGGAATATGGGAAAAAATGAAAAAGCAATACAGCACATATTTCAGTCTTAAAACAGTGGAAGAAAATTCTGCAACATTAGATGATATTTTGCTCATTCCTCAGATTCATAAGTTTCAAAAAGTATTTATGAAAATTGATGTTGAGGGTCACGAACATAGGGTACTTCTGGGTGCTAAAGAATTTTTCAAACAACTAGATGTGCAAGGTATAATCATGGAGTGGGCGTGGCATGTAAAGAGGCAGTCATCAGAAATAATAAAAACCTTAATGGCTAACTGGAAATTCAAACCATTTAAAATGTTTTCCACTACAGAAATCGATCTTAGTTCAATACATTCGGACATGTGGCCACAAGATGTTCTCTGGCTTCCAATCTAGTTATCTCAAGGAAATTATGAAAAAATGTTTGATTATTTTCATGAAAAAATATTCTTATTCTAAATTTGATGTTTTGTGGTAAAAATAATTTGTTCGATTGAAAAAAAAACAAAAACAAATATAAATCTCACAAAGTTAAATGGTCGTTACTTGTATGAGACAAAAAAAAGCTTACAGAAATACGAATATTTCATTTGTTATGGAAGATAAATTTTGAAAAAAATAAGAAAAAGCGAAAGATATATAAAAAAAAATCATCAGTTGAACAAAGACAAAAATCACTATAGATAAAACAAAAGCACGAAACAAATTCCCAAAATGATCAAGAGAAAACTAGATTATGCAGCAGAAATTATCCCGATCAATATCGAGGATTAAGCAAAATGTTCAAGAAAGGTCAGTATGTCCTGCTTCATTAGTTGACACCCATTCCTTTACTTTAGCTACTATAAAATCGTCTTTAATGTGTTATAACCGTTGATTAAGGATTTATACAGTAGCTAGTAGATTGTTAACCGTCTTCTGACATTTCTAAGCTATCACATGAACTAAATTTATCAACACAGAATTCCTGGAAATTTGGAAGATATTTTCAATTGCGAAAACTATCGATATAAGCAACCATTATATTTGGGCTCATGTGAATGTGACTTACCGAATTATACTAGTTACCGGATTTGTAATAACATAAGCAACACGACGGGTGCCACATGTGGAGCAGGATCTGCTTACCCTTCCGGAGCACATGAGATCACCCCCAGTTTTTGATGGGGTTTGTGTTGCTTAGTCTTTAGTTTTCTATGTTGTGTCATCTGTACTATTATTTGTCTGTTTGTCTTTTTATTTTTGGCCATGGCGTTGTCAGTTTGTTTTCGATCTATGAGTTTGACTGTCCCTCTGGTATCTTTCGTCCCTCTTTCAAATGTTGTTTATTTCGAAATTTGTCTGGTATTTTATATTTATTCAGCATCGAGTTTCCCTATTTTTTTCATGTTTGATGTGATTATCTTCTACAAACATGCATCTTTAGTTTTAAATTATTGTAGAAGATTCAGCGATAATCATGTAATGTATTTTTTAGTGTTACAAATTATGATAACAAATGTAATATTTATTAAATGACTTTCTTAAGCAAAGGATTTCAGAAAATCAAATGTTTTCAGTGGTGTTTATTTTAGCTTACAGGTGCATTGCTCAATATGCATTTGTTTCTATGTTTTGTACCTGTATAGTAATGTAATATTCCGAGTTTTTAAGATTTGCTTTTATTAAGTTTGTTAGATATATTAGCTGTGTTTCTTAGTTTGAATTGTTTTAACTTGTACGTCTAACAAAAAAGTTGCAAAACGCCTTATTATTTGTTCGAAGCTATTTAAATTCTATTTTCACTTTCATTTGAACTCTTGCAACGTTTTATCACATATATAAGGATGTTTTGTAAAAGTACGAGTCCACCTGCAGGAATTGAAAGTTAAGTGGTGTTTCGTATCCAGTATTTTACGGTAAAAAACAGAAATATCACAGAATCTAGATCATCAAATTTCACATACACGTTTGATGATGTTCTGTTCATGCATTATTAATCTAAACTTTTCTGATTGAGTCCAATGAACCAGATGTTAAAGAAACCGTAGATACATTCTCCTCATTTCAAGACATATACCTCGAATTTGTCTACATCGAACATCTCAGTACTAGAATCTATGACAAACGAGACGATTTCAATTAACTTTGAAATTAGAAAATTTCCTCACCTTAGCAGCAATATATTAACTTAACCTCATATGGAGTATACATTTCTCAACTAATATACGACATTCAAGAGCTTGCAGCTGCACTCAGACTTTGTAAATGGATGGGTGTTTGTGAAAATATCAAAGGGCCAGGGTTTTGTCAAAGAACGTTTTGTCATTTTTCTCAAACTGTTCATAAGAAAATACCAAGATCTTATAGATAAATATTCAGTGTTTGCTTCATGAATCACACAAGATGGTCTTGAGTTATAGATTCTATGTGCTGAAGTTGTGTATCTTTTTATCTACCGTACAGTTCTCTCTTAATGTGTCTTTTAGCTATGATCCTTTTGGACGTATGACTCTTGACGTAACTCGGTATTTATGCAACCAGCTGTCGGTGGTTGTCGAGCCTGCGACTTTTGCTGCAGAAAGCTCGACATTGAGATAGTGATTCGGCGGCGGCAGAGGCGGCGGCGGAAACGGCGTTAGCTAACGTCTTAAAAGCTTTATATTTTAAAAGAAGGAAGACCTGGATGCTTCATACTTTGTATATAGATGCCTCATGTTATGAAGTTTCCGTCAGTCACATGTCCAATGTCCTTGACCTCATTTTCATGGTTCAGTGACTACTTGAAAAAAAAGTTCAGATTTTTTGAAATGTTAAATTCTCTCTTATTGTAAGTAATAGGATAACTATATTTGGTATGTGCGTACCTTGCAAGGTCCTCATGCCCGTCAGACAGTTTTCACTTGACCTCGACTTCATTTCATGTATCAGTGAACAAGGTTAAGTTTTCGTGGTCAAGTCCATATCTGAGATACTATAAGCAATATGTCTACTATATTTGGTGTATGTAATGATTGTAAGGTGTACATGTCCAACTGGCAGGTGTCATCTGACCTTGACCTCATTTTCATGGTTCAGTGGTCATAGTTTAGTTTTTGTGTTTTGGTCTGTTTTTCTACTACTGTTTGCAATAGGTCAACTGTATTTGGTGTATGGAAATATTTTACAATGTAAATGTCAGTCTGGCATGTTTTATTTGACCTTGACCTCATTTTCAAGGTTCATTGCTCAATGTTAAGTTTTTGTGTTTTGGTCTGTTTTTCTAATACTGTATGCAGTAGGTCAACTATATTTGGTGTATGGAAATATTTGATGATGTACATGTCAGTCTGGCAGGTTTGATTTGACCTTGACCTCATTTTCATGTTTCATTGCTTATGTTAAGTTTTTGTGTTTTGGTCTGTTTTTCTTACACTTTAAGAAATAGGTCAACTATATTTGGTAGAAAGAATGATAGTAAGGTGTATATGTTTGTCTGGCAAGTATCATCTGACCTTCACCTCATTTTCATGGTTGATTGGTCAATGTTCAGTTTTTCTGGTTAATTTTTCTTCTTAGATACCTTAAGCAATAGGTCAACTATATTTGGAATGATTTTAATGTGTACATGTCTGTCTGGCAGGGTTCAAATGACCTTGGCTTCATTTTCATGGTTCATTGGTCAATATAGAATTTCCATGGTTTGGTCTGTTTCTTTTATACTATAAGCAATAGGTCATCTATATTCTGTGTATGGAGGGATTGTATTAAAGGTGAACATGTATTTCCGGCTTGGTTTATCTGACCTTGACCTCATTTTCGTGGATAATAAATGTTAATGTGATACTTGTAGTAAAACTTTATATGTAGGACTATCAACATAATATCAATGGTCAGTATAGTAGGCGAGACATTTCAGCGTGTGCACTCTTGTTTTACTATGGGCGTTCCTAATGAAGGTGAGCCCAGAAGTGCGATTCGGACGCACTAGGTTTTTGTTGATAGTTTTGTTTTTATTTGGTTACCTTTGCATTTTATTTTACTAAAATTGTACTTTATCGGAAAAGTGTAAACTAGTTTTGCATTTGATTTTAGTATACTGTTCTTACTATTATCTTTGTCAGAGTTATTGTCAACTAAAATATTTTTGTGTTGGTGTCTATGTCAGATTTATTTTTAGTTTGTTTGAATGTTTTGGTCGCTCACCCAATTTTGTCAATATGATGGAACTATACACAACTGTCATAAAAGTTAGAGGTGAGCTATAAAACTAGGTAAAGCCACCATTTTCTTCAGAAAATTCATAAACCAAGTCAAGGAAATAACAGTTGTTTTCAGTTGGTTCCGATGGTTTATAAAGTCTTACGTACGTACGATTTTGTCAGTTTTTATGGACTTCCTTTATCTAAATTTAACTTTGATTATTTTTATGTTACTATTTTTCTTGATTGAATTATTTCGATAGATCGATTGATTGATCGTGGTGTTGAACACCAATTTTAGCGCTATTGTCTATACCGTGGTGACCGCTTTCAATTGGTGGAGGAAACCGAAGTGACAAGAGAGTACCACCGACCGTCGGCAGTAAATAAACTACTCAGACCATTCGGCCATTGAGACCCCTTCTTGAATAGAAAAATATTTAACATGTTAACAAGATACCATATAATATAAATTGGATCTTGACTTTAAAGTTATATTTATTTAATACTTTTACCATGGAATACCGAACTTTTAATCTTTGTTTTAAGGACTTTTTCAAATTTGACTGTATGAGCATATTTGCACATTTGTAATTTGTTACGAAAACTGAATTTTGTTAAAATTATCAACTTTAATTGCATACACAAATAGGTTGTTATCCACAATAAAGGTTCTATATTGCTTTCTATGAGTCATGTGTTTTAAAGATTCGATGCCCCACATCTTAGGTTCATGTACCAAATCCGAATCGACATAATCCTTCCTCCGTTGGTCTGCATGTATTTCCTCGACAGGACAAAATATATCCTAACCTTGATTAGTGTGTGATGTTTTACACCAGACAGCATATAACCCGAAATCCGGAACACCTCAAAAGACAGAATAAGAGACCCAACAAACCTATATGGAATATCGAGAATTTGTTGAACATGAAATGATAAATGTTAAATAATTCAAACGAGAAAACTAGTAAACCTGTATTCAAAGTGCAGCTTTTTAATTAGCAGAATGGGAATACGTTAACCGCCATACTTTACAAAGAGAAATAATACAGCTGGTGGACTGTTTGTCACCGAAGATATCACCAGCCTAGTAACCATCACGGATGTTGTGTTATTAAAATTTGCTGTTCATCTTTCAAATAAGCTTTAGATTTTAAAATATTTTGGCCTCGAGCATCTCTGTAAAGACATTTAATGTCGACTTGTGCATCTGGTGCAGAAAAATTGGTACAGTTAATAAATGTTATTGCCCTAAATGTCGTGGACTTACAAGATCAAAGTTCGAATATAATTCTTTTGTATG